ATTGAGTTGGAACTAACCCCAAACTGACCCTCCAGTGGGTTTTCAGAGGCGATTAAACACACTGGAGGAGATTTCCTATCCTTTTCCCATGAACAGCTGGTAGACCTGAACTGAGTGCCTTTGAGATTGCATCACACCTTCTTGCCACTAGGCCACCAATTAAATATTCTGTGCATGCAGCACACACCATCCCAACTCATATTCTGAAATTACATGAACTGCTTATCATCTAGAAAAAACCATGACTCTAGATAATAAATTTCAATCAATATGGAACTGCTGTGGTTACAGTTATTTATGTTTCCATGTCAGAAAAACACCTGCTATGTCAATTCTCTATCACTGGGGTAAAAACCCCCACTCTGCCCACTTGCTGTACAGAAGTAACTCGTGGTTGCTGTGAAGCTGAACACTGTGACACTGATGTGTCAAATGCGAGAATGGTTACCAATGGTGGACAGTGTTTGGTGGAGCTCCCTGATTAAAACAAGCTTGGAAGCAGGAGTGGCATCCACTTCCGAAAAAGCTTGCCCCTGGAGACCCTATGAACCTGGAGAAAGGATTAAAGTTGTACAAGTGTTCAGGCTTTTCGTTCATAAGGTCTCTGTGAGTCGTCTATGACTCGACGGCATTTAACAACAACAACAACATCATTATGTTGGTTATGTTATGTTGTGTTGTGATGTGATGTGATGCTGGAAGCAGGAGTGGCATCCACTTCCTGAACAACATGCCTCTGAAAACTCTACAAAATTTGAGAAATGACGATGATTATAGAAAGACTTCAGGTCGTGTTCATAGGGTCGCTATGAGTTGTGTTCGATTCGATGGCAATCAACAACAACAACAACAACATCTTTATAATGAGTGTGTTCGTATTCTCCACCTGCATTTCTCTGCATTGCTGCTTTTATCCCAAGACATAGTGACACTTTAAATATTCACTTTCATGTGCTTGTGATGTTGTGATGTTAACTACTACTCATGGTCACTCTGTGCACAATGGACCTGAACTTCTGTCTGTCCTAGTCTGCGCCTTCCTCACCATCTTGGACACACTCACGCCACCGTTAGAGTCACTGTGTCAATCCATCTCATTGAGGGTCTTCCCCTCCTTTGCCAACCTTCTCCCATTCCAAGCATGATGTCCTTCTCCAAGGACTGTCCCCTCTTACACAACATGACTGAAGTGTTTGAGACCAAAGTTTCATGATCTTTGCCTCCAAGGAGCACTCTGGCTGTACTTTTTCTGGGATGTATCTGTTGTTCTTTAGACATTCCATAGGATATTCAGTACTCTTCTGCAACACTACAACTCAAAGGCATTGACTCTTCTGTCATTCATATTCACTGTCCAACTTTCAGATACACATCAAGTAATAGAAAATATTATGTTTTGGATCAGGTGCACCTTTGTCTTTAAAGTGACAGTGTTGCTTTTCAGCACCTTTGAGAGGTCCCTAACAACTGGCTGTCCCAAAGCAGTACATTGTTTTATTTCCTGGATACTGGTCCTAAGAGTATTGATCATGGATCCAAACAAGATGCAATTATTGACAATTCCTATCTCTTTTCCATCTATCACAATGCTGCCTAGTAGCCTGCTGGAGAGGATTTTCTTTGTGGACATTACTGAGTAATGCCATTAATATCACATGCAAGTGACATTACTTTTGCTGAAGGTTATTAACATATGGCTTAGATTAGTACATAGAGAGTGGCCAGAAATCTAGGCTGGATTTAGAAGAAACTACAGCACAGGGATATCACTGCTGATATCAGATGGGTTTTGGCTAAGAAAGCAAAGAATGCCAAAAAGATGTCTACGTGTGCTTTATTAACTATGCAAAGGCTTTTGACTGCATGTATCATAACATATCATAGCTAACACTGCGAAGAACGAGAATCTCAGAACACTTAATTGTATTATACCTAGTCCCAAAAGGTATTTTTATGAACAGAGCAAGGGAACATCGCATGGTTTAAAATCAGAAAAAAAGTGTACATCTGAGTTGTATATTTCTACATACATATTTAATCTGTATATGGGGGGGGTGTAATAATTTGAGTAGCTAGACTGTAAAGAAGGCTCAGAGGAAGATTTAGCAACATCTTGTTATTTAGATGACACAACCTTGCTTGCTAAAAGTGAGGAGGACTTGAAATGCTTGCTGCAGAGGGTCAGAGACTATAGTATTCAATGTGGGTTATGTCTCAGCATAAAGTGTTTGTATTAGGGTTGAATAAAACAGAATGTCGCCAAAAGAATTCCAAAACACAAATCTTATAAGGTCCCATCTAAGAAACTCCTATCTCAGGCTCCCAGTTTTGGGGAACTTAAAAGCACTTTCATCTGATCATAATTCTAAGTAAATATGTTTTTCACAACCATCAAACAACTCTTTAAGTTCAGAGAACCTTAGAAAACCAAAAAGCCCAAGACTTGAATGTATGATTTCCCTTCCAACTTCCAGTCAAATAAAAAAAGCTCAGAAACAGACTTCTTAAAAGTCAAAAGCAGAGAACTTTGACCATAATCTTTCTCCTTTTGCCAAACTGCCAGTAGCAAGTCAGGTCTTGATAATTTGGGCTTGTTATTGTTTAGAAAACTATTGTGATTATTTTATCCTGGAATTATAAGTCATTCCCCCAAGAATGATACCAACAGGAGAGGTTTAGAGATGTCACTGTTATAGGTGAGGAGGACTTGATATGGAAGCATTGAATGTTTTGAGCTCCATTCTTCAGGAAATGCCTTGAGAATCCTTGCCCAGTAGATATTGCTTGCATAGAATGATGTGACTCATGAACCAGGTCTACAGGGTAGTGTATCAGAGAGGGGAACCACACAGAGACTGAGCCCTGGTAACCCCACAGCAACTGCATCTTAAACAAGAACTCTCTCTTCACACCTATGTTCTACTCTTCATGAGACACAAAAATGTAAGCCTATTTTAAAATTGTCCATAAAAGCCAAATCCAAGAAAGCTTGATATTCTTCTAGAAGTGGTAAAGGCTAGTAACTATGAAATACATTTGCCAGCAAGCAAAAGTTGTAACGAGAAGTTATATCCCTTGATATTTTGAGTATTTAATGAGGATCTCAGAGATTGATTGGGGCAATAAAGACCAGCAGGACTTCCTCCAATGACAGAAATGTTCTATATGTGGTCTGCACCATATGAGCACTTGGAATATGGCTCGTATGACTAAGAAATTGCATTTTAAATGTTAATTCTATTTAAGTTTGATTAACAAGGGACAATTTATATAATCATCTGTGGGTAGCGACTACCATATTGGGCAGAACAGGGTGAGAGGCATCATTTGAAGCTTACCAAGGATCTTTATTCAATGCTCAATTTGATTCTTTTTTTTTCCTCTCTCCAGAAAATGTTCATTCTCTTCCCCCAACCCCTAGAAACTTTCTTAAAAGGACAGAGGTCACAAAAATGTATCTTCATGGGGCTGCCAATCAGAGTGAAGTAGAAATCCACTCTCCTTAACAATCAAAACTGTTTTAAACTTAACCTACTTCATCTTTGAACTTTTCCATGCTCGCTAGAGCCTTATAGAAAAAAAAAGTGAAAAAGGGAAAAAGAAAAAAAAAAGAAAAAGGGGGGGAGGGAAAGAAATAAAAGGAGACTGTCAATTGCTTCTCTATTTTGCAATCTGAATGTCCCTGCCTTGTCTAACAGGGAGCAATGAGGAAAAAAACAGAATGGGAGAGGGAGGAAAGTAAATAAAACTAAGGACTTTTGATGGAGAGCAAACATGTCAAAGATTAAAAGACAGTGACCTTTAGTTTCTACCATTGTTGAGAATAGGAAGCGCATAAAACAATCATCAGATAAAAAGGGAAAAAGCTGATAAGTTTAAAAATGTAGCACCACAGGACCCAACCAGAGTAAAACCTCAAGGACCTTTTAACATTATCCACTTAAAACTGTCCCACAGATAAATAAGTAATTTGAAGCCCAAGGAAGTGAAATGCTCTGTGTCTTTGAGATAATAGGCAGCTAGGTCCCAGGTCTCCTGGTTTGTGCAGGCTTCACTATGACCTTCACTCCTCTATGCTGAACACCAACTGCATCTTGAAGAGAGAGCCACTCAGCTCCATCCTCCCTTGTCCCCACCTCAGGAGATCAGAGGTCAGGGTCCTCACCACAGCTCCAACATCTCCTATCATTAGCTCAGCATTCCTGAAGACCAGGCAACTTATCAAACATCATGAGCAGATGAGAAATGAGAATGCGCCAAAGACCCAAGAGAATGCTTGACCCCAGCACAATTACTGAGTATTACAGTAGGCCTTTTTCTATAAAATTGGCATGATGTTGTATTAAAAACACCCGTGGATTCAGGAGTGAAAGTCCAAATATTTCCAAGCCACATGACCACTCACTGGTGACATAAAAACAAGCAATTGTTTTGTTTTAACTGTCATTTTCTTTTGACAATTCTCAAAAACTCATATTGCAGTTGAAAACTGACAAGCACAAAACTGAGATCCAAGACTGAATCCCTTTCTCCAAGCCACACAACTACCAAGAGACCTGAGTCTTAGAACCAGTTTCTGTCTCCATGTTCAGAACTCTTACGCTTCAGAAACAACAATCAGATGTCCAAAGCCAGACCAGATGAAAGAAAAGGACACTTCTCCTGCACGTGTCCTGGTTACTCTCAGATGTCGGATATTTTCCTTTTGAGACATAAAACGTCCAATGGTTTTATCTGTCATTGCTTGGTGTACTGATGGGAAAACCAAGATATATTTCAGGATTTAGATGAAATATCAAGGAATAGGCTTGCTTTATTGCCTGGATTTTCTAAACTCTGCTAGTCCTCAGATTACCTTCTGCAGCTAAATGTTGTATTACTGCTGATAAGAGCAAGATGTGAGAACCATGACATGATTTTAAAGATCAAGGCCTTTGAATGTTCTACTGCACATTTATCAAAGAATCTAGAAAAGAAAATGCTAAAGAAATCAGACTTACATCCTAGTGCTGCAGGTCTTGTTGATGATGACAGATTTCCCCGTCTGATCCACGTTGTGGTCAAGCCCAAAGTAGGCTGCCACGCGATGGACCAGCATCCTCTGATATGATGACATCTGAGGGAACTTCTTATAATGGTTGCTAGAATACAGTACAACACAAAGAACAATGAGCACCCCCTCTTGTCCCGTCTCACCTTTCACAGGTACATACACAAAACCCACACTCCTTCATTCCCACCCCTATGCTCATTTCATCTCTGGCCTCCCTTCATGTCCTCATATCCAGACAATTTTCCCACTTATATGTATTGATTAAGTGGCAGTAAGTGCCATTGTTTCATCCTTGCATATTTCTCTTGCCAACGCAAACTTAATGTCTGTTGGAAAGCTTTTTATGGCCGTCTATGAAACCTTATTAACATAGCCAGGCTCAGGACAAATGATGTAACATAATACGTGACTGCAGATGCCTATCTGGAGAAGTGTCATTACCCTGTTTGCACTGAAAGCAGCACAATTATTTCCAAGCATAACGGACTGCAGCCAGCTGGAGCCCATTAAAAAAACGACACCAAAAGCCAAAAGGGTCGCTTCTTGTTAGGGCTAACTCCATGCTAATCAGGGGGCCTCTCTTTCAGCCATTTCTGTCAGGAATTTAGCAAGCAGGAGTTTACATGGGCCAAGTAACAATTCCTATCAGCGTAGAACTCCTAACTCCAACAGCTCTTTCATTGAGCAAACCACAAAACAGCTTAAACGGTGCTTTAGGCTATCTCAAAATACACAATTCAATCCAAACACCAAGCTAATATATATCGGGAAAATGAACCAGAATTGTGTAATGGGACATACTTGTTATCCCCGATGAAATCAATCATTTCTTGCTCCATTTTCAAAAGGATCATCCTGTCCCTGAAAAAAACAAACAAACAATACACACTAAATTAAAAGTGTGTTCTCTTGACTTTCCATTCCGAAGGCCTAAACCATTCATTTAGCTATTAGGTGCCCACAGCTATATTGGACAAACCTCTGAAATGTACTGCCGTTTTGTATATTTTTTCAATTGCTTATACGCTTTCCCCCCCTTATTTTTTTTGGTAAGAGAACTTTGTCATTTCAATGTTATCACATGCAAAGGATTAGATCTATAAAACACATCAAAGAAGTAGTATCTTTCAAATGAACAAGATATTAGAACAAAATAAGGCCCTCACACTGACTGGAGAGCATTGCCTATTTGTACTGAAGCAGAAATGATTTCTTAATAACCTTTCAGAAGGCATCTCTTTGTGACTAGGAATACAGAACTTATATATCATAACTTTAGTCCTTGGGAGTAGCATCCCAGGAATGGAGACTATCTGTAAATATGGAAACTACTAAAATCCAAGTGAAAATACAGAAGCTAGCATAAGACACAGGGTGGGCATAGGCATTTTACAAATGCCATCCTAAAAAAAAATTAAAAAACCCCAAAACACCTGGATTAACAACTGCAAGAATATTTGACTCTTAGAAATGTAAGAGATTTAAAGAAGTTACCTGGAATTATTCTTTAATGTGTTAATCAAAAACTCGTGCAAATCTATGCCTGTAGAATCCGTATATTCTTGGCTGCAATCTGAAATAAACAGCAGGATGGAATTGTCAGGAGTGGGAGTGGTGCGAAGAAATCGAGAAAGTTTTACAATAATCTATCCTGTTCTACTTGTGTCTGTCTAGGTGACTGTTTCAAACTAGCCACCTGGCAATATGACATCAGGATTAAAATAAGGTTAAGGATTGAGAAATTCCAGGAGATCTGGGAGTGGGAGGGTTCAACTGTCACAGGTGGGGGAGTGGGCACAGTAGAGGTGCCAGGGAAAGGCAGCTGGGTGGAGTCCAATATCACGTGTTCACTGTGTGCTGTCAATCACCAAGGGCGTACCCTCCACGTGACAGGTTCTATCAGCCCACCGGAGCTCTCACGAATTTGAGGTTTTCATGGAACTCTCTTTCTCTTAAGCTGAGAAGGCCCCAAAAGTGAACATCCGTTCTAAAAATATCTAAAAATTAACCAGTAGATGACACAGGAAGACAGTGAATGCTGCCAGTTCTTGCTGGCTTGTTTCTGATGTTGAGTCAAACTTCATTTCTAAAACTCTTTTAGGAATCTGCATCTCTTTCTTCTTGTACATACTTTGTATTTTAGAAAACCATCAACAAGCAGATGAGTCACTACAGTGCATAGTATCAAGAAGCAGTTACTCCTTAGCTGACCATAAGCCCAATTCCTTTTCAGTTACTTAAGAGTGAAAACAAAAACCTTCCTGCAGGCTGTTTACTAAGGTATATATTTTCTGGCTTTCTTCCGTTTTCCCTCATGTACTTCTAGATCTATGACAATAATGAAAAATTGGAACGGATTTTTAGATTTGAGGCTTAAGAAGGATTGACTTTTTCATGCCCAAGTTTTTGTTGAAGTGGATATTTTTCTCCCTTCTGAGATCTTACTTTGAAGGCTGTATTTATGCATCAGCCCCATTCATCTGCCCCAGATAAGGACGTGCATTCCACTGATGTCTACAACATCAGAGCTTTGGAGATCTCATCACTTTTCTACTAAGAATTCCCCATCTGCTTTTGTCTTTGAAGACAAGTGTGAGAGTTAAGATATGAAACTGGTCTCTTCACCACTCACCAATCAAACTTATTTGAACTAACAGATCTGACGTAAGAGCAGATTTCGAATCACGCACACCATTGTGTGGGTTCATCATTGAAAACAGGAGACATAAGTGTAAATCCAAAGAACGACGAAATCCTAATGGAAATTAAAAAACAACAACACAACAAACCACTCTGGCTACACAAATCATGACACCATGAATGGAAAGAGAATCAAAATCACATCCTCTACACAAACTAACACATATAGAATTGTGTATGAACAGTTTAGTCCTGTGAATCTAGCAGAAGCTCTGTGACTACTCTGGGCCGGAATAGAGGAAGTTAAAGAAACATTTCCACATTCACCTTTTGATAACATTCTGATCTTGGGTTTCTCAGAGGTTTTATCTTTGTTTTTATCCTTTTCCTTTTCTCTGTCAGAGTCATCTTTTCTAGATTTATCATCCTCTTGCAGCCTGGGGAAACTGGAAAGCTGTAAATGAATGGATTCCTGTTGGGGAAAAAATATAATGATTTAGGGCCAGATTTAATCATCTCTGCCTGGTTTCCATTTTGCATAGAGCTTATTAAGTATAGAAGAAGAAAAAAAAATGAAAGCCAGGTGCAATTTTTCCTGTCAGAAAAATAATTGCCCTTTAAGGAGAATTCAACTTCAGAAGTCAATGGGAGGTCATGAGAATCAGCTAGAACTAAGACTTCACCTCATGAAAATTGAGTCTCAGCAGTTAAATGTCCATAGATCACAACTCTTTCTTTCACTACAGGTTTATTTTTAAACATTAGGGAAAAAAATAATAATTCTTTGTCAGTAAGCTTGCATCACAGCAACTGCAACATCTCAAAAATTTTTTTTCTGCGATTCTTTTCTGTAATTCCCTTATAAGGAGAAAATTGGCATACATACACAGACAGACAGATACTATGAATCCTAACTACAGATAGAACAGACATAAATACAGGCTCTGCTAGCCAACTTACAATGAAAAGTTTACTTTAGGACTCCATCAACAATGGTTTCTACTGCTATAAACAAAAAAGTTACATAATTGTAGGAACACTACATATGGATTCTTTTTGTAATTATTTACAAATCTCTTTAAACAATCATGATGTTGAGTTACTATAAGCCTTTTAGAAAAATTAGAAAGTGGGCTTCTGTTTACCATGAGATATGACTAGTTAATAGTATTTTCCTTTTATTATCAGCCTGTCTTTTCTAAAATATAAGATTCTTTTGAAACAAAGCCCCACCAGACTAATTATTTAAACTACTGCAGGTGGATCATCCTTTATAGAATATCCCCCCTTCCCCGAGAACATAATCTTTTGTATTAACTAACATATATCAGCCATTTGGTTGATGGTATGTTCATTGTTTTGAAGAAGGATGAGCCAAGTCATGTGGTTTTGTTTCTCTCTCTCCTTTGTTCTAGTTTTTCTGAAAAATTTCTTCTATGATTAAAACTTTGAGAAATGAGCTCACATTAATCCCACCTGCTCTTATGTAAGAGATTACTTGATATGAAAGCTTTCTTTCACTGGTGACATTAAAATTTATGATGTAGGGAAAAATACATTCCCAATGACTAATCGTGTCTCTCCTTGACAACTAAACTAAGGTTCCCTCTCCATGTGACTAAAGTAATGCTTGTACTTGTTCAGATTTGGGGTTCTTAGAGGTTCTATCTACACTTGGCCAATCTAGGGAGCATAACACTAAACCAAGTTTATTTTGAAGAGGGGTATCATTTTGACACTGCCGGCTGGAAGAAAAGTCACCAGAGTTAGAAAGACACACCACACACAGGATGAAATAAAACCTATTCACAAGCTAAATATTTATGTAAGTTGACTTTCTGATTTTCACATGGTTACACTGGAAATGGCCATTCACAAAATATGTAAAAGTAAGTGGTTTATTTTTACTATAAGGTCTCCTTTTCTTGTTTTTAAAAAATTCTTATTTTTTTTATTATAAGATCGCTTATTGCATGACTGGGACTATAAATAGCTTTGGCCTGCAAAGCTTTAAGAACATTCTAGGCTTAGGATTTGCTCCTACTTGCTAAGGAAACATCTGGGGCATTGCTGGCTCTGAACACATGGAGAAGAAAAGAGGAAGAATTGATCTGACAAAATGCGGGTGGGGGTGGGCGGGCTCGAGGTGGGGAACTGAGGGAACCTAAGCCGTGAACGTGGCCTCATTACTTCTTCAAAACTGTTTGAACAATCTAGCCTCTGTGTGACTTCAATCTAAAATCAAAGCATCCTCAACATCGATCATCAATGCAAGAGCAGAAACTAAAGAACATCAGTTCCCAAAACTTACAGACTGATGTTGTGTGTTATGTTATACTGTGCTCTGTTAAATACCTATCTTTTCTGGGGATCAATATACACCATGGTATTGAAAAAACACACGAAAGTGCTGTAGAGTTGGTAAAAAACAATCTGTTCTTTTTTAATATTTTTTTATTGATATGCTCAATAATAAAATACAAGTGTTAATAAATACATTGGTACAGGATAAGTTGATATCCAACAACAGTAAAAGAGAGATTCAAGTTGCAGTAGTACACTGATAGGTAAATAGTATCACATTAGAAAAGCGAAACTCCTCAAACTTAAGGACAGACTGAACCATCAGCTCTGGGTCTGAGATCAAGTAATACAGGTAGCAAGAGTTTTTCCCACACAGGAAAATGAAGGCAGTTCTCCAAATACTGTGAATATACAAACATAGGGGAAGCAATACATTCTATACACTGTATACTTCTGCCAAGGTTCTTGGGGGTTCAGGTCCCACATTGGGTAAATGCAGGTGGGTCCTAACAAAGGCAGGGTGCTAAGTGCACGTGGCTGCTCCTTCACACTCGCAGGCGGCAGCAAGAGCATGATCCCCTGCGTGTGTGTGTGTGTGTGTGTGTGTGTGCTAGCAAGCGTGTGTGTGTGTTCTATTTGTCCTCTACTCCCACGATCCCTCAGCCAGTCCACAGAAGCGCTTGCAGGCTGGAATTCCCCCCTATAGAGCTAGTCTTGGTTTCTGGGCTTGGAACCAGCAGGAACAAAGCACCGTGTGCATCTGATTTCTCTGTACCAATTGCATGGAAAAACTAGACTTAGGTCCAGGATGGGCACAGATTATCCCTTAACAAAATTTTCCTCCTGATACCTTCTGCAATGGGACACAGAGCAGATTAAGTCTACAAAGACAAAGACCAGCCTCTTTTTCTTAGCATTAGGAGTAGAGGACAGCTCGGGCACTGTTTTTCCCAGGGTCGATCATTTTGCAGGGTTCATGGGTATTGTGTGCAGTACATTACAAGCCATCCATCAACATTTAATAATCCAAGCTGCAATATTCACATTGCTCCCCCCTTTCAATCTCCATGAAAAATAGAAGCACAAATAAGATGCTGAGGAAAAAAGCCACACATTTCTCAGAGCCCAGGTGAAATAAAGCTTGTGTTTGGAACAGAGGGATGGCGACAGAAAGCCCGTTCACGTCTTTGGACATGAGTGGCATGTTAAGAAAATGAGGCAAGGGAGAAAACATCCCACACATTCTGAGGACAAAATCTATCAGGAATTTATTTTTGGTCCTTTTATTACCACTAGGCCACCAGAGCTCCCTTAAAGAAAGTGTTCCCATCGCTGTCTGTATCCATGAGGAGAATTTAGAGTATTTCAATTAAAGTTAAAAAAAGAGAGAGAGAGAGAAAAGCAAAACAAAACTAATGATATCTTAATCAATTTTCCCTCCCCTGGGCTCAGATAAATCATTTTACGTTTGCCTTCACTGCTTTCAGCCTCTGATGAAATAAGGGAAATTACAGCAGCAAAAATGTTTTTATAAAAGCTGATACGATGCCTAAAAGGCAAACAAAAATAAATAGGATGTGAAGTTTCCCATTGGGCCACAGCTGAATTTTGTCGGAATTTGAATTTTTTTGGAACCTAATTATCTGGTTGTAAAGGAGCCAAGATGAGAGTAAGGAGAGTCCGGATATGCCGCAATATATTATTAATAACAGTAACTTAAATTCACCATCAGCTTGGATTAATTTCTGAGCCATTTTTGTTGGATTCAGAAACCTCCACCAAAGACCACCACAAAAGTGTTTTGCCCAAGTTCAGTGCGCCCTAGTTACTCTTTTCTCATGTTTCATAAGTAGCCGAGAGGTGAGTTCCTCACAGGCAAGTGCATCTTGGGGGGCTGAGAGGTAAGACATCCCCACTGAGGTGGGAGACAGTTCCTTGGGGCTCTATTTGGTGCAGCCTTATCAAGAGAGGGCCTTTGAGGAAATGCCGCACTGCTATGCTCATTTTTGTTATTTTAAGTGTTAATCTAAGTTCTTTTGAATTCCTTTCCATTTGGAGTTTTCAGAGGGTCTGGAAAAAAGCAAACGTAATACTCGGTGACATGCGGTGACACTATTTCAGAATGTCTCACACACAGAGAGAATGATAAGCCAGAAAATGGAATTCTTGTCTTCAGTCCCTTTCTCTTCTCTCTTCCCCCAACACACTGTGTAATACGGCACTAACAGGCATGCACACAGAAGCAGAGTCTGTTCATGCAAGTAATGGGAAAGTGAGGAGGGGCGAGGGTACCTGGTCCTGAAGACTTTCGGCTCCGGGTCTTGTCGATTCCTCACAGACGGCAAGGCTGCGGGTCAGTTTCCCTTTGCCGGCTCCTGACTGGCAGGGCAGAAGAAGAGGGAAGGACGGGAAGAAGAAAGAAAGCAACAGAACTTTCTCAGGTGAGAGCCATAGCTCCAGGTCGACAGTCAGTTCTCAAGGCAGACTCCGAAAACAGCAGTCACGACAGCTGGCCAGGTCTGTCTATACTACCAGGGACTCTTGACATCATCAGACCACTGTTGCTGATGGGAGTGGAGGGAAGGGCAGTGCGAGTGGACACATTCAAGGAACATCATCAGCAAACTGTACCCATCACATTGATGGATGAGAAAGAAAACACTGCCATTTCATTAAAGTATGAAGAGAACATAATGATTTAAAAAGAAAAAATAAAATCTGCACTAAGTTTGGAGGGGATTCAACCAAAAAGGTGTTTGAAAGGAGGAGGGCATTTGTAGGAACATCAAGTTTCTCTTCAATCAGAAATCAATTAATTGGGAAGAACAACCCATTTACTCCAACTTGTATTTCAATAAAATTTGGTGACGCCTATTTGTTCTGTAAAGCACTATCAGTCTCCAGATAGGAAAAGGAGATCCGCTGTGTCTATTTGCAGCTATGCCATTTTCCAAATGCTTGAACCGAAATGCACAGAGCAAGGTAGAAGCATACATTTGAGCCCCTCACCAACACCAGTAGACAGTACCCAGACAGCCAAGCCCACCATCACGTCTGTGCACAGCCATCTGAATCGCTGACAAGCCCCTTCACTTGATGGGAAATACTCAATGTTCGCCCATGCTATCAGCTCTACATTGAATCGCTTAAATGTCTTACCTTAGATTTTCTTCTCTCTTGGTTCTGAGCTGCCAGCCGCCTCTGTATGTCAGAAAAGAAAAGAAAACCAACAGTGTACCCACAACCGAGAGAGAGACAGAGACAGACAGACAGACAGAGAGAATGAGAAATGTGAAAGGTGCCGTAGTCGAGAACTCAACAATAATATCAAAAGAGATATTTGAACCATCAAGGGGAACCACTTCTTCCAAAACATCTAACCCCAAACCATTGACATTTTAGCTCCCTCTCTTTATGGCAGTTATTGGAAAGAGGGGAAAATCCATCTGGAAGACACTGATAATTATGTGATTGTGTACAAACGTGTACAAGCCATTTGGAAGCACAGTGTGTTAGCTCTCTCCCAAATTTGTCTCATCATCTGGGTATAGTTAAGCATCTTACTTGTTTAGTCTCTATTAGTCACTCTCGTTTGTTTCTGCTTCCTTTCTGCTCTCTCCCACTGTGGAGCAAATTCTGGAGTTTAAGATTCCTTGTTTGAAGATTTGGACCTTTACAAGATCCATGAAGGTTGACCACGATCATGTTCTCTGCCTTTTCTTAGCAGAGCATGAGTTGGTCTTCTGGTGTCCCTCCCACAGGACAACCTATCTATTGCTTAAAATGAACTAGCCTGAAGGTACCTTAGGTGAAGCCCTCCCGGTTTATGTATTTGCCTTGAAATTGTCTGGAAGTCAGTACTGGAGTGCTGCGTGTGCAAAGTCTAAAAGGAAATACTTGGAAATGTTTTCATCGCAAAGCACATTATAAGGCTCAGAGCAGTCATGGCGGGGTGAGGGTGAGGGTGGGGGTAAACAAATAAACAACCTGACCCATAGCTGAGTGAGGAGAGGGATCACTTTAAAAGTCCCCTATTCGATTACCTTGAAGAAAGACATCATTCGGAGAAAGGTGGAGGGTCAGAGAAAGAGAGGAAGCCCTCAACTGGATGGACTTGACACAGTGACTCTAACAATGGACTTGAGAGATGGAAAGGATGGAGCAGGACAGGACAAGGTTCAGATCTGCTGTTCACAGGGTCACTAGGAGCCATAGTTCTCCCAACAGCACTAACAACAATATTCATTTAACTCCTCAAACTCTTTTAAAGAGAAGCAAGAAAGAAAGAGGGCATTCTCTGCCGGCAGGACAGGCCACCCTAGGTGTGGAAGTCAAGACTCCGAGGCTTACCTGCAATTCTTGCTTCTCCTCTTCGTCCAGACTCTCGGATTTAAGCACTCCATTTTCTGGGGTGGCTGGCTCCTGGTCAGTTCCGCCTTCCTCCACTATGGCCTGGCTCAGGTCACCTTGCTCAGACATTCTCCCAGACGCAATTTACAATGACAAAGTCTGATGCCCTAGAAGGTCAAAATGTAAAGGGGGGAAAAATTAGTGGCTAGTGTAACATTGAGTAATATTCTTGAGGTACTTCACTTCTCCCTTATTGTCAAATTTAAATGAGCAACCCAGGCTTTCCTGCCAAGTTTCTATAAAAGGATAAGCAGTCATGATCAAGTCGTCACGGCAGACACAGGAGGCAGATGCAGCCACCCTATCTGGCATTGCTACATGTGCGCACACACGTGGGTACACCTGCCACCACAGGGGGTCAAAAGATTGCACGGGGAAACGTACCACCTTTCCCTAACCACCAAGCCCCCTTTCCCACTGCAAAGAGGGAGACAAAGGGGAGAAACCATCCCTCCACCTCTTGAGCCAATGACCCTGGACTCCCAAGTCAATAGGTGGTATCTATGATGTGCTAATCCTCTCAGATGGCTCAGAAATCAGACACCAGGTTGCACCCACAGACACACTTTAAGAGCACGGTATGCTCAGTGAGGGGCAAAGCAAAACCAATTGAAGAGGTAATAATGTTGTATAAATACAGGATCTGCATTTGGCAATAAACCTCTCAGGGTCAACCTTGCCAGGCTTCAAAGTGACAGCTCCATTATTAAAAGCATAAGCCGAGTCCCCAGCTCCTGTCAGCAGCTGGTGTCGCCCGGCTCCTGCAGAAGAAGGTCCCTGGCAGGCAGCTTGAATGAAGCGATCGCCAGTGAACTCAGCCACTATGGGGTTGGCTCACAAGAGAACACCATGTAGACACTGGAAAGGGCTTTTCACAGTTAAAGCCCGTTACTATTTCTTTCTCTCCCTACCTCTGTAAAGCGCCTGACATGTTGCCCTCATAGTGCTGTCAATGATGTGTTAGTGAATAGTTTAGCATTTATTTCCCTTTTTTCTTTTCTTTTTTTAAGATGTGGAAAAGAACAAGAGAAAAGGAAAAAGGAATAAGGAGAGGGGGGAAATAAGAAACTGTGACTTGGAAAGTCAGTTCTCCCATAAAAATTCCTTAGCTTTGATGGCCCCGTTCCCAGTACTGCAATGGTAATTATTACTAGACAAATCAGTGTTTTAATATGTTGCTTTCAAAGTGTTTAATTAGCATGTACGAATTCAAGGAACTTTTCCCCAACTGGAACTAGGAGCCTTGAGAAGAATCTAAAGACAAGTAATTTTGATGGCAAATATGCTAAGAATGATGGTGACAGAATAGATATTATATAATAATATTTTTTTTTAACACAGAGGCTCATTTGGAAAAGGACTGTGACACTTTGAAAGGTAGAGTTATCCTGAAGGACAGTAGCTAGAGTCTGTGGATGTCTAATGAGAGACCCTTTTAGGTATTTTTGGGGGGGAAGTTCAGGATAGCCCGTTACAGTGCCATCTGAGGAATCTCTCCTACTTCACTCTCCCTGATGTGTGTAGTGTGTCTGAATATGTGTGTGGTGTTAACAAAATAAAAAAAAAAGTTCTGTTTCCCAAAGGAAAGTAGCTTTGTACCTCAGTGCAGGTGAAGGCAGGAGGGTGGGCTTCTGTTACCCTCACTGTCTTCTGTCAAAGCATTTCAATCAGGAACAGATCACAACCAGATTTGCCATTGCAGTGAGCAAACAGATTTCATTTTCCAAACTGCAAGCCAATTGAGCTCCTGTCACAGCCCCTTGTCAGTGTTGGCTACACTCAAAGTGTGCTCTTCTCTGTGAACACACACATTTGGTAGAAACAGATGAATAAGGCAGGTGAGATGGCAGGCAAACAAGACCTTTACCTTTCACGGAGGGTGCGTGCTGTAGGTCTGGACACCTTGTTAGCAGCTTCTGTCTCTCCCCCAGGAAGATCCACACCAGTGATCACGGGTGACCGGAGTCCCATGTCCCCATTAACAGTTCGGAATGTCCATTTCCATGCGATGCCCTCACACAGTTTGACCCATCATCGTCAACCTGAAAAAAAGATGAGAAGAAAATAATAACAATAATCGCAGTGATCATGGTAGGGTGAAAAAGGAAATAAGTAAGACCGGATTTCTAACACTAATGACCAGCTTCCAGCAAATCACGTTCACAGCTTGATCCAGCTCAACCTGTCTCAAGCTGCCTGCTTCTCCCTAATGAAGACTACAGCCGGCTGTTGAAGTCACAGCAGCACCCACGCAAGGAGCTAAAATTAACAATTGCATTATGCACCGAAGATTACTCACTTCAATTTTAACCTTTTTTAGTGAAATCTCGCACTTTGTATTACATTTTTTTTTAAAAAAAAGAAGGAAAAAAAAACCACCATAAGCTTGTGTGTTTGCTTCAATGAGAACCCACATCACCTATGAACAACAACAACAAAAAGGCTTGCTCCTTTTTAAAACCCCAAACCGTTTGTCTTAATTAGAGATGGATAGGATATACTTGCTGGCTGTTTCTAGAACTCCTTTCTTAATGAAACATGTCTTAATGAAGCGTGGTTGAAGGTTTTGATTAATGAGGCATGATCCATAAAAGTGAAACGGAGAAAGAAAAAGACAAAAGTTTGGTGATGGTGTTGACTGAGAAAGAGCAGTCCTCTGGCGGAGAGTTTGGGAAGCAGAATTCCTCGTATGTCTTCTCCTTGCACGGTGACGGAAGCGTATCCTTTACCCCCCTCTCCCCATCAGCACTGCCACCACCAGCTGGCCATCCTGGTTGACAGCAGAGAGACGCTGTCACAGGGATTCGACAGATTTGCAAACTTTTGAGCCTGTTGAAAACAATCCACGCGCTAATGTGCACTTTCTTTTTCGCGCAACTCCTACAGAAGCCGCAGCAGAGACAGCTTGAATGCAAACATAGAGACGGGTTCCTAATAACATTTGCCAAAACCAAGCTGGATCTTGCTCTCTTTGCTACAGCTCTCCCCTGGTGCACAGCCACGAAGCCCTCACCGCTCGCGCGCGCACACACACCTCTCCCCTTCTGTAACCACCAAGGAAAGCCATCAGCAGAAGGTTAGAAGCATTTCTACACTCTCTTCCTCTCCTCCCCTCCCTGACATCCCCCCCTCCCAAGTCTAAAAGAGTGCAGCTGGTTCTTCATAGGACTTTACTGTGGCTATATTAACAGCAATATTGAGTTACAAAGCCATTTGTCATGCCAGAGGAAAACAACTGTTGAAAATGTGATCACTTGTCCAGTCAATAACTGCTGATTTTATTCATATTTTCAGACGGATCACCTGTCTTTTAATCTTGTTTCTTTCGTTGCTAGAAATCCTGCAGCTATGCTGGGTAAGCAAATGTTCACAGATTGCAAATTAACAGTCGTTTTCATGTTCTAACTTTGGCCAGCCTCACCCGGGCTACTATGACCAGCACTAAATATTAAACAAGAATCATCACCCTGAAAGTACAAATCCATGCGAATCTATGTAACCAGCCTGACATCTAGTGTGTTCTAGGCTAGGGTCCAGCGATGGATGGATAAAATTGCCAAGAGCTCCTTAGAAATGCTCCCAATTTCCGTATGTCTCTCGTCTCTGTTTTATGGCCCTCAGATTTTTACAGTGGTGTGGAAAACTCCAACAGGTACATGGTGAGGCACCACTGAGATCAAAGCTCCAGCTGCATCATTCTATTCTCAGTAAGAGGATGTAAGATATAATCTTCCAGCAAGAAAGAAGGAAAAAATATTCACAAAGTGGTATTCACAGTGCTTGTAACCAACTCAAAGCGCAAACAGCCTGAGTGTGTGTGTGTGGTGAGAGAAAGAGAGAGAGAGAGAGAGAAGGGAGAAGGGAGAAGGGAGAAGGGAGAAGGGAGAAGGGAGAAGGGAGAAGGGAGAAGGGAGGGAGAGAGAGAGATTACCAGGACACATTTCAAAATAGCACCACACTCTAAAGTCAGAGAGGTATTATTCTCGCATGCCTGAATCATAAAGTCATGCACAGAGATAAAAGAGAACACAGGCATATGGGAACGAGCAGAGAGGAACATATGGATTACAAATATTTTTGTAACTGATTAAAATTGTTCTCTTTGCTAAGAAGCAGCACTAGCAAACTGACTCTGCTCCAGGTTTCTGTTCACCAAACTGACCTGACTCTCTCACTGACACTTAAATACTAAAGTGTTCCATTTTCTTCCACTTTCACAGAGAACTTGAATCATGCTCAACACAAATATTTCCCCCAACATTTCATCAATATGTGTCCTGGCCAAATTCCAATTGCCAGAGTGGAGGTAGCAAGGGGGGTAAAAAGAGGTGGTTATAGACAAACAGAATAAAAATTCCTGTAGTTTTTAAACGGAAAATATCATTTTAACAATATCTTTTAAGGTAGTGCAATCAACTGTTCAAACCGAAAAAAGCTATATGAAAGTTATCAATAAAATTTGCTTGTTCCCTTCCGGTTAACAACGACTTAGGAAGAAGAACAAGATCAAAACTTTGCCCTTTACTGCTCCATCCTCATGACCTCTGACAGGCTCAAGCTCCTTCAAAAGAAACAGCTACTTATAATTAGAAACGCAACTAAAATAATGACAATTTCGCATTATAGTGATGTAGTTTCTTAAGTTTATTTTAAAGTTTGGGGGAGTAGCTTTAAAGATAATGAGAATGAATGAAAGAAAAGAAAGGCGGGAGGGAGGGAGGGAGGGAAGGAAGGAAGGAAGGAAGGAAGGAAGGAAGGAAGGAAGGAAGGAAGGAAAAACTAAGACACAATAATTTAAAAATCAAACTCATTGCCATTGACTAAATCTGAAGCATAGAAACCTAATATGACAGGATAAATTTCACATCCCCGTCAATGGAATGGGTGCATCCAAGTTATACACGTGTGCTACAATATTAATCCCATGTGGGAGAAGAGAGAGAACAGATTAAATTCAAATTGTACTGTACAGTCAACAGTGATTTAGTTCTCAGGGGAAACCTAAAATGGAAAGTGAAAATTGAATTCTATTAGCAAGTTAGGAGGGTCACTTTTTAGTCATTTTCTTCATAATACTTGCACTGAAAATGAGCAGAAGGGATGAGTAATCTTATCCCAAATTGGTATAGGTGCTTTTTGATGGGTAAGAAGAAGAAAAAAAAAAAATCACCACCCCAATCAAGAATAGTCATGAACTTGCTGATGGAGATGTTTCCCATATGCATTGTCTGTTCTTTATTGCCTTGTCACAGGTCTACAAACATAACCACTTATAACGTGATGATATTAGTGATTTGCCCATATGTTGCATAAGGCATTTAGGTACTTTAACACTGTACTTCAACCCGTGAAAGCTGGGACCTACTAAAAGAGGAAAATTGTCAGAGAAGGAAAACTCAAATGTATTCCCCCCAAAAGGACTGCCCTGTCAAAGGTAGAAAAGGGGTAACCAAGAAGCCAAGAGAGTTCCATCAATTTCTAACACTCGTAGGTTTCACTGTATGAATCAAAGACACAGCCCATTATTATAACATTTACCGTTTCAAGCAATTCAACTAAAATCATTGCTGTGGAGTCTGAATAGACTCATAGATGACCCTTCAGTGGGTTTTTGGAAGCTATAATGAAAGAGATTGTTTTGTCTTTTCCCCCTTTTTCCCTCTAGCTGTTGGTGGGTTCGAACCACCTGAGAAGTACTACCTTTGGGTGAGCAGTGTAACTCCATACTGACTAGTTCCCAGAGCACGTTAGGAACTTAAAGATATTAGTTCTATTTACTCTTAGAATATGTAAGATGAAGTCTAAAAGGAGTGAAAAAAGAAGGATAAAGAGTCTCTGGGATAAAGTCTCTTCACAAATGGAGAGTTATGGTGGTATGAAGAGTGAATAGACTAAATCATCAGTAAAAAGTGGGTTTTCCCCCTGAATTAAAAAAAAAAAGCATCAATATGAAATTTTCACACAAATTTAATTTCCCAAGGCAAGTTTCCTTGCTAAAAATATGTGTCATAAACATCCAGTCAGGAGCTCTACCCTTTAATGAAATTATTTTTTGGTCAACCTGGGGCTCAAGGTATCGAGAATATATTTTAACAGCTTGCACAAATTTCAAAATGGCAAGGTGCTATTTCAGAGAAAAAGCCTAGAGGGAAATTTGAGAAAAGTACTTTTTATTATAATTCTAAGGAATAGAGAACTATTGTTCATGAAGGCTTAAGTTATAATCTAACAGCAAAGCCATTTATAAACATATGCAAGTTATATGTAGAATTTTTCTTTTTATTTATAACTATTAAAATAAGATGAACCCCTAAACAACTCGGATTAGCATTTAGCAGAATAAACGCAATGGAAAGAGCTGAAATTGAACCTTTAGACATAAGAAGACCTTTGCGATAATCTTGAATGTTATGAAGGGGTTCTGATCTCAGTATTTGGAGAAATATCATATGCCAATGTTCATTTTCCCATTGATTTTAAAGACACTCTTGATAACTAGAATGTGTAAAGGAACTCTGATGGCAGTCAACAACTGACAAGAAGGTCAATGGTTCAAACCTACCAATCATTCCTTGAGAGACAAGTGAGGCATTCAGCTTCCAGAAAGCTGAAAACCCCATGGGGTAGTCCTACTCTGTTCTATAGGAACCTGATGACTCAGAATGGACTCTGTAACTGTAGGTCGGTTTTGGTTTATAATGTGTAAGGTTCTACATTATAATTTTCAGGTCTTGATGGCACCTAACGACAATAACAACAACACAACACAATCTCAGATAAAAAAATCCAACAACCAACATGGTTAATTTTCCAAAGACATGATAAAGCAAAAGTAAACAATATGTCTAACAATAGATCAAAAGCACAAAATACCACCACCAGAGAACCTGGAATTGTGCTTGTGAAATTTCTCCTGACATATTGATGACACATAAATAAATACACATATTCTGTGACTGCACCCTGCCCAGGTTGTTGAAGGTATATATGGGACAAAACATAGATGCTCAATAAATGTTATCATCATCATCATTATCTTAGCCC